CGTGTGTGAGTATATTTCCAAGTTAATTTGAAAACAAAATTTTTAGTGAAATAACTAGTTAGAATATATATATATATATATATATATATGTTAATGCAACAAGTCCTTCTTGTCGTGTGTCGACAACAGATTCACTCTCTCCACCGCTTTCGCTGCCTGAGAAAACCAAACACACAAACAAAAGCCAAATAAGGTTAATTACATTTTTTTTTTTACTTCATGAAAAAAAGTAAAATTTAGTTTATAATCGCAATTCAATCGAAAAAAAAAGAGGTAAAAAAATATAGAGTAAAGTAAGTCATTTTTTTACCTCTCTATCCCAATCGCAACGCATCGTCATAATGGCCAAGATCACGGTTTGAACAAACGTACCTCCAAATATCATCCCTCCCCACATTCCCTTTTTACCATCACATATCACGAAAAACCACATTTTTAAAATTAAAAATTAAAGATAAAAATAGACACGTGGGAAAATTCAAAACAGGTTTCTTGCGATACAAGAAAGCAGAGCTCACCATAACACCCAAGTTAAAGACCCAACCCATGAGAGCTCCAAGTGGAACACCGACGAGGTAATAGCATCCCAGGTTCACGTAAGCAACCTTTTTCTGCCAACCCGACCCGACCGCCACGCCTGCCACGTCAGCAATCCGACCCGTAATTTTCTTTGTTGCGTGTATGACAAGAAAACTGAAAAGATTTTGAAATAAGGGTTTCACTTGCCTGATAGAACAGGCTGGACGCTGTTCAAGAGGATGGTGACGCCTAAGAGATAAGAGAGGGTATCCACTTCGGACAGAACTTCGGGGCTTGAAGTGAAGATGAGAGCGACCTTGTCCCTTAGGAACATCACCACTAGACAGATGACTAACCCGATCACCGTCGACTGTCCCACCGACACTTTCGTCGCGAATTTCGCTCCCCTTCCATTCCCGGCTCCTAGCTCGTTCGCCACCCGCACCCTGTATACGTTCATGTCAGCTCAGCAATGTTAGTTGCAGACGGTTGGGTGAATGTAGCCAAGTTTTGGAGAAAGATTCATTCTTCTGTTATTTGTAATGTCTGTATATAAAGATGGAAGAACTAAGGAATAAAGTTATCGAGTTCATTTTACTCATTCTAAGATTTTCCTTCTCAGCTTTCTCTCACTAGAAACAGAGTTCTTCGTTTCCTGAAAGTTCCGTAATCATTTGCATCCGGTAAGAACTGGACTGTGTATACGAATGTTTATGAAATAAACTTAAATCCAAAACTCGCGACATTTATAATAGATTCAGACACATATCAATAATGGGTCCATGCCAAAAACCGTGATTTTGCAGATTAAACTCGCGCGAAATCGGAAACCGTTGACGAGGTATAAAATCACTCGTTATAAGCTTATAAGGGTATTTTCGTCATTACGTATATGTAATTTACCCGGTGGCGGCGAAGAAAGCCATTGGAATCATCATCTCCCAACCGTTGATGCTCATGCTGCAATTACAAAAAAACAAAGTTTTCTCTGTGTTCGTACATATATATATCCTTCATTTTTTTTGTTCGTATAGGGAAACAAAGAGATTAAAAAAAAAGGACAGAGCTCTTACCAAACAGACAACGCATCGACGGCTAATGTTGCGTTTTTAAGATGCCCAGTCATCAAAATCAGTATCCTGTAGTACCAATTCTCTAAACTGCAACAGAATCAAAACAATCAACTTGTTTCGTACCTCTCTAAGATCATGGTCATATATAGAAACACGAAATACATATATATACGGCACCATAGCATGACTCCGGCGGCGGCGGAGAGCTTGAGGAAGTCCCACAGGCCGGAGAAGGCTTCGGTGGAGAAGCCGGTCCACGTCAGCGGGCAACCACCGCAGGCGGCGTACGAGTAGAGGCCGAAGACCAGAACCCACCACGATATGTCCAGAGACAAGCATGCTCCGACGATCCCCCAACCCAACACGCTCACGAACAACCAGCTGGTCAACGCGTTGACCACCAGCCCTAGAAACGACACCCACGCGATCACCTGGGTTTTGAGCTGGCTCTGGAGGAAGCGTTGGAGAGGGAACTGGAAGGCGAAGCTGAAGTGGAGAGGGATCATCCAGAGGGCGGTCTGGCCGGAGAGACGCGCCACGTCATCGGGCAGGCCGAGGAGCCGAAGCAGAGGAGTGGCGAAGACGTAGAGAGGGAGGAGGAGGAAGCAGCAGACGAAGAGAACTATCCACGACCTCTGCATGTACACTCCCAGCATGTTGTACCTTTTCGCCCCAAACGCCTGCCCGCACAGCGTTTCCAACGCACTCGCCATTCCCAGCTGCAACATTGTTTAAGAAAATTATTAACTAATATGATTATCAGTTGGTGATTTCGGTTTGGTTATATAGAACCGAACCGATTTGAATTGTTAGACCGAATCCCATATAAAAACCGGTGAAGAGAACATTTTTTTTACGATTCAATACATCGGAATCCGAAATGACTACAAGATAATTTAGGAATCCAAAATTTGTGTGAAAAATAAGCGTTTAAACCAGATAATTATAGTTTTTATAAAACATAAGTTGTGATTGTTCGGTTATATAAAACCAAACGATCTGAATTGAACAATACAACATTGTAATCCGATGAAGGGATATAATTTTGTTAAACAAATATCAAAATAATTTAAAAGCTAAAAAGATTCTCTATAAAATAAAGATTTAGATTCATAAAAACTAAACCTTAATCAAATCAGATCTAAACTTAAAAATTAATATTATATTTTTACTAAAACCAGATTATTTATAAAAAACATAACTGAAGAACCTCGTCGAAACTCGAAATGCCCGGTAACGAGTACGAACATGTTTAAGACAAAAAATCCTTGAAGCCATTTATTGCTCTCTTCAATCAAATTCTGATTTGTCGTACTTGTAAAATTATTGTAATAGAAAAATCAATAAGCCAAATCAATCTTATAAATATATTGTTTGTCACATAAGTATATAACACGTAGAGAGAGAGAGGGAGTACGAGGAGGCCGAAGTTGAAGCCGACGATGACGGTGTTGGCGATGGAGATGGCGGCGAGTTCTACTTCGCCGAGGTGACCGGCGAAAGCTTGAGTCACCACGTTCATGGTGTACGACGCCACTCTGCTTATGATGCTGGGTCCCACTATCTGCCATAGCTTCTTCGTCTCTTCCCACACCCTCCGGCAAAACTCCCCCTCCTCCTCCGCCGCATCCACGTCAGCTTTTTCCGGCGATAAAAACGGCCGCCTCATCATATCCCTCCCACCGCCACCTTCTCCGTTCTCCATGCGTATATATCTTGCTCGAGTTTTCTCGATTCTTCTCTGTTGTTTTGTTCTTTTCTTCTTTTTTTTTCTGTTCCTTGTTTTCTTTTTCTTCAACTTTTTTGGAAGTATGTTTTCTTTTTTCTTTTTTAGGTCGGCTAAATATGTGATAGACATGACATGAGGATGAAATAAGTTAATGCATGTATAGATAGATGTGGGAATATAAAATAAAATGCACTTTTTTTTAAAAAAAAGTTTATTTAACATAATATGTTAAGTGAATATTCCGAGGTGGCAAAAACAAGATTGGATTTGTCTCGTGAAAACCGTATAATAACAATAGAAAAAAAGACGACAAAATTTAGGGACCTACACATTTTTTTTAAAAATTGTTATCCTTCGTTGCACTTTTAACGTTTTAAGTTTTTAGCATATGGCAAGTGAATATTCCAAGTGGCAAAAAAATAAGATTGGATTTGTCTCATTACAAACATATAATAAAAATTTAAAAAATAAATAAGACCACAAAACTACACAATTTGTTTAAATTGTTGTCCTTTGCTTTTTTTTTTCTCTCTCCTGGGTTTTTACTTTAAATTCGGGTTCCACTGTCTCGGCGTAATAATCTGGAAATGGCTGACATATGATTTAGTTCAGTGGCATAAATCAACTAATCAAAATATATTGAAATTATTTTGTCTGGATGCCAAACTGATTAATAATAATAATAATTGGCTGGCGAATCTTCTGGTCATATCCTGGGTGCTGATAATAATAATAATAATCTTTGAAAAAGTTGAGATAGATGGATCTTCCAACAATGGTCGGGACTTTTTTGTGGACCCATTATATATATTTATACATGCACATGCACTGACAATCATATATATTATTATTATTATTATTAAATGGTAGGGATTCAGATTCTCGGATTTCGAATAACCAAATAACAAATATACCCGCATACCCGTGGTTTCGATTGGATACCCACAAACAACCATAGATTAATTATCAATGAGGAGACGACAAGTCTAATGGTACGGGTACCATCGTTTTCAATTTAGCCAATTGACGGGTGGTTTTCCCCGACAGGACTCTTCCATGCGATTTAAAAGTTGATTGAATATAAACATTTTAAAATTAACTTTATAAAAAAACATTTTAAAATTAAATTAATAATCAAAATCCCATATAAACCTACCGGCGGTGGATCGGGTAGGATCTGAGCCTAACACCTTTTAATAGGCTTTTTTCTTCAGTCCATTATTGTTCATGGCATTTCTATGCTTTGATACTAACCGATATCTGAATCTAGGTATACAAATAAAATATATATTATTTTTAAAATTTGGAAAACCAAATCCAAACTAAATATAAAAATAATTCAAAAACGTTTTTTAAATGAAAATATTTGCAATGTCAATTAAATGTTAAAGTCTAAAATCTTACAAAAAATCCATTTATTTTGGCTGGCATAAATTTGGGCATCTTTTTCTCCAAATTTCGGCATCCCTCCCTAAAATTCAGAAAAAATTGACATTCCTCGTAAATCAAACATTTAGTTATTGAACTTAATCGTTAATCACAGAGAGGTAATGACCTCATAGTAGACGCACCATCACCATGGGAACCACAATCATGAGCATTTATGTTTTCACAAGTTACCTGTCAAGAATCCACCAATGGCAGTTCTGAATCAGGATGATCATGGCAGAAAAAATGCCAGCTTGAATCATGGAAAGCTGGAAAATAATCATCAGACACTGTCTCGATCGCAAACTCGTGCGTGAAACTTCTTACAGCGATGATACGTCTCGTCGAACTGATAACCCTCGGGTTTAACGAGTTCTTGTTCTCGACGACATGCTGCTCATATGTCTGAAAGCTGTTCCCGAACAATGCAATTCTCGACAAGGAATCCGTTCTCCAGTTCGCCTGCAACAGATTGCTGTATAGCTCGGCTTCACAGTGTGGCATGAAGAAAAGGGTCGGCTTTATAGCTTCTCTCCGACCTTGCTCGTTGACAGACAGAACAGAGCAGCCGAGAGATGTTACGACGTTAGATTCTGTTGCGGAAAGAACTGGATCAAATACTTCTATGTCACCGATCCAATCAAACTTCTTCTTCAACAAGATCGCTATGCTTAGCTGAAATCTCGGGGGTTCGTAAGATTCGATGCTGCCTATGCCATAAATCACCATATTCAGCTGTGACTCAGTGCCCAAGACACGACGGAAGTGATCTAAAACCTCAGGAGCCTGGATTTTTCCAACGAATTCTGCGTAAAACTGCGAGTTCTCGAGTTTCTTCATAGAGATTTCCATCTTCTGTATTAGCCTTGACTGTCTCAGAGAATCAACTTCAAGTTCATTCGGTGTCCAAGGTTGTTGTTGTTCTTCTTCTTCTTGAGCCTTATACTTCGGAAATCTTCTTCCCTGTCTTCCTCGACGATTCAAGACAACTTTCCATTCGCCATCTTCGCTCGAATTATTAACAGACCCCATTGAATCCGAAACCGGGATTTTACTACGAACCCGTCTCGAGAATTGGCTTAAGGAACTAGTAATATCTATCTTCCATAACTCTCACACAATCTGTGAATTTCTAACCGTGACATCAGTTATTGCCACCTGCAATTAAGCGATAAGAGAATTTCGACTTAGATGGAATCACAAAATTCTCGAAAACGATCATAAAAACAGCAAATACGTGATCACGATTTTGATCAGATCGATCCAGTACAATGTACATATACATATATAAAGACATGAGGAGATAATGCTACCGAGAACAACGGTTTCTAAATATCCATGATCATCCTCTGAAATTTCTCCAAACAACATTTCAGGGAGAACTAATTTGGGCCTCCGACACGACTGGCGTTATTGATGTCTGAAGCTTTCGTCTTCAGATACTTCAGAGGATTTCCAACAGTGATGTCGAAGTTTACCGGTTGTTAACGGAGAGGATAGAGGAGGAAGAAGACATACCAGAGATTCGCGAGGGAGATGGAGAAGGTGTCTAGGGTTAGGGTTTCGGCCGATTGGTAGTGACAACCCTGACGGAGCACGCGCTTCTTGAATTGGGCCCATAATTTGGGAAACCATTTTTTTATTGGGTTTTTCCTTCTTTATATAGTAAATGAATTTCAATAGTGCTGTATTTTGGATGCTAATTTTTTTTAAATAGTTGATTGACTTTATATTCAATTCGTTTTTTATAACATGAAAAAATTATAATTTAGAATAATCAAATTTAGTATAGATTTGATTATAAGCAATCAATTTTTTTTAGATAAAACTTAAAAATATAAAATTTATAATTAATAGAATGTACATATAATACACTGTATTAGATACTAAAAATAAAAACAATAGAATTACTAGCGAAAACTAAAAAAAAATATAAACTATTAGATTCTAAATAGATACGGAGATATATAGAAGTTTTATCAAAAAGTTTATTTAGTCCAAAACTCTAAACGTATTTTATTTCATGTAATTGACTCTTTTGACAACACCCGCTCCAGACACGTGGCATGATATGGTTGGTTTGTGGTGTACGATAAATGTAACCTCGTGTGCATTTTAGCGTTGCCTCAGCGCAGCTTCAACTGTAGTATAAAGCCTTCATATGATTGTTGCTTGTCTGATTCGTCGTCTTCTTGTTTCCTTATCGTCGTCGCCGTCGTCGTCGACAATGGAAACTTTGAAACCATTAATTAAAATCACGAGCGTGAAATCAAAGCAAGCGATGTTACTGTGGTTGGAGGGTTTTCGAGAAGCTTGTTGTCTTCATCGCGTCGTCATTCTTTGTCTCAGGTTCGCTTCTCTTGCTCCAATTTCTAGTTTTCGACAGATATGGAAACTCAATTTTCATCGGATCCTGTTTGGTTGGCAGTAAAATTGGGAATTTGACAACCCTTTGCGTTTTTCTTTCATGGGTAGGTCGCGAAATCTCCTGTTTCGAACTGGGCAGTGTTTTCTTCTGAATGGTTTGATCTTCTTAGGAAGGTAATCTCATCTCCATGGTTCATGCATCACTTTCTCCATACGTGTTCTTCATCCTGGTTGTACGAAGGTGAGGGGATTTGCTCAATTGGCCTCTTAAAGCTACGATTGCCATATTCAGCTTTCGCACGGTGCTGAAATTGGTTGAGTTCCAATGTTATCACAAAGCTGAATGATTGGAAAGAACATTAGGATTGTAATTTCAGTTCAAGATGCTGAAAGTCCTTGAAAACGGGTTATGTTTTGTAATTCAAAAGCGAAGCAGAGAATCTGTTTCCTGTGCCTAAGTACTTGAGATGAGCTCTTGAGAATGCTAGTCATGGTCGTTTCCTTATTGCCATTCTGAGATTAAGAATTCTACCAGTCGAATATACCTGACTCATACGTTTTTCACCGTTTTCCCTGTTGTTTTGTTGCAGTCTAGGCCTGTTCAACAAATTTGTTGTCCCAACCCTTCAGTGGATATTGCCTGATCGGTGTTCTCTGATCACTTCTCAAGAATTCTGTTCGTCTGGCAACGTTTTAAGAGTTTATTCCTTCTTACGTGGTGGACTTGTGCAGCTATTTTACGTAAGTATGCTGTTTACGCCAAGACTTTGATGAGCTTCTTGATGGAATCTTATATTGTCTTTCTTTTTCTTCTTTTGCTATGATCATAACTTCACACTGTTCAAGAAGTTCGTAGTTTTGTCTGTTTTCTGCTTTGATGAGCATGTTCTTCCTGTGGCCACAGGTGTTTTGGTTCTATCCCTTGTATATGTTCAGCTTCATCTTGAGTAACATCTGGTAGGCTCCTTTAACATTATTCTATTCACATATCTTCACTAAATAGAATATTGTGTATAACCTGTACTTGAATCTTTGGTTGTGTCTTTTGATTGAAGCGTGTTTATATCATGTTTTATATGTTTTTCCTCTTTTTACTTCGTTTTCTACTTTATTAAGTTGAGGCTATGAAGATCGTTGCTTTCCAGGTACAATGATATTGCAAAGTATGGATTTGAAGCAATGGAGAGATCTGACTCGAGTTCAGTAGAAGGTGAAACTGTGGCCTCGACGAACATGGCAAAAGCTGAAAGGCCTTCTGGATTTGGAGGGTATACTGCTCACTTCAGAAAAATTCTCGAAAGCGAGAAATAATAAACGATTGTATGTATTAAGGTCCTTTAGCACCACGTTCTTTTTCAGGGTCATGATCGTAATAGGAGAGCAGGTGTACTCAATAATACTGTTGACCGTCTTTTTTCTGGAGGTAAATTATTTCCCTTTATATCTCTTCCTATGGTGAAACTGTTTGTGAAATTTCTAATAGCTGTCAATTGGGTATTGTCCTGAATTTGGTTGCTTTCGTGAATTACCGTTTGATAACATATGCTGCTTTAACCTGGTGGCAATCAAATGTAGGTTTATGCGGTTGGATATGTACCATACATTGGCAAGATACTAAATTTCTTACTTCTTTCATGGATGTATGCCTACTACTCTTACGAGTATGTGCCTGATCTCTCACTTTTTACGTTATTTTATAGAATGGTACCTTACCTTGAAATGATTTTAGACCAACTTATCGAATCCCGGGTTTCTCATTGTAGATATAAATGGAACTTCTCAGGAGTGCCACTGGACAAAAGGCTGGACTTCTTTGAATCTAACTGGGCGTTCTTTGCTGGTTTCGGTAACCAAACTTCCTATTTCCGTCATTCTGTTGTTTGATTTGAATCAGTAAAAGGGGAAATTTACCCATTGGTCTAATTTGTTTTTCAGGAAGCCCCTGTGTTCTTGCCATTTTCGTTTTCTCTCCTCTTGTTAGCGGTGCACTTATGGCCATCCTGTTTCCACTGGTTCGCTTTCTTGCTCCAAACGAGTCGAAAGCTCAATATCCCGACTGATTTCTCAATGGTCGGTGTTAACGAATTGTTTTCAGTTTGTTTTAACCGCTACAGGATCAGGGCCTGAAAAAGCCATTCTTGCCCCGAGAAGGACGTGGAAATGCGCGGGTTTAGGGAGACTTCCGATATTCTATGTCGCGGATACACTCTCGTAAGCCACTGACCTTTCCTCGCTGTATCGTAATTTCAGATGGGTTATATCCTAAAATTTTGGATCGGCTTTCATTCTCGAGACTTGAAATAGGAACCCATTTAAGACATTGCTAGTTTTCATAATTCTACTCCCATGTCTGTCTCCATGCAATGATGTATCTTTCCTTTTTATGATTTCTTAAAAATTCACAGCTATTAACTTTGTGTGGAACTGTTCTTGGTGTTTTTGTTCTTAAGGATGTTGGCTTTGTCCTTCTTCCGGTTGGAGTCTCTGCAACAGACAGGACATGACAAGGCGAACTGAACCTCCGAAATCGATTGCCATTGGACATTGTAAGATGAACCCTCGAGGTTTTCGGAAAGACGACACGTAATCACACGAACCCTTCGGACCGATCATTCAACACCGATCTTCAGTTTCGGTACCCAGCACTTGATTTCTGTCTTCTTGGTGTGCAGTGCTTTAGAAAAAAGCCATGGCTGCAAAAAGATCATACAGCAGAAAAATATATGGTTGGAACAGTTTGATTGTGATGGAAATCCTTTGCAAAAAAAAAAACTAAAACCAAATTACAGAATTTGAATCTATTTGTTCAGTGTTGCATTCGTTTCACTTTGGCTCTTGTGTGCAACTTGGAGATTTCAGTTTCTTACCCTTGGTAGTTAACCGGTGAAACGGAGGCGAGTTCGAACCTTAAATTAGGAAAGAGAGTGTCCTAATCACATGATATATTGTCAACCCCGAAATCACTGATTGGTTAAGGTGAAACTGATTGGTTTGATTTTTTTTCTCATTCCCAACCGCCCTAAACCGAGATCGAACCCAAAGAAAACCGGGGCAACATTTCGAACGTTTTTTCATTTATTTACGGAGTACATAATAATAATAATAATAATAATAATAATAATAATAATAATAATAATAATAATAATAATAATGAGCTTGTATTAAAACTAGGGGTGGGCGAACGGTCGGTTACGGGTTAATCGGTTACGGTTATTTCGGGTTTGGTTATTTCGGGTTATTAAAACTCATAACCAAACGGTTAATTAATTTTATTAGGTTCGGTTCGGTTCGGTTTCGGTTCGGTTCGGTTCGGTTTTGTCTATTTAAAACTATAACCAAACTATAACCAAATAAAGATTCGGTTCGGTTCGGTTATAATACTTAAAAAATCAATTCATTTATAATTAAAAATATTCAAATAAAATATAATATAAAATATTATCATAATTATTTTAACATATAAATAATAATATCTAAATTTATATTTTGATATAAAACTATTAAATAAATAAAGATCGTTTTTTTTCTAATGTTTATAACACAAAACTTTAAAAACAATAATAACAATTATAAAATGTATTTAAAATATAATAAAATAATGATTAAATCAAGAATATAAACATTCATATATGTATATAAATATATATAAATGAAGATATATAAACGGTTTGGTTCGGTTCGGTTCGGGTTCGATTATTTCGGGTTTTAAAAAATCATAACCAAACGGTTATTTAATTTTATTCGATTCGGTTCGGTTCGGGTATATATCGGTCGGTTCGGTTAATAACCGAAATACCCAAACCGAATGCCCACCCCTAATTAAAACTAGGACAGTGTCCTTTTGCTTTTATTGGATACGCTTTTTGCTTCCCTCAATAATTTTTCCCATAATTAATTTGCATCCAGAAAGTTAGAAACAACTTTATTCTCTCCCTCCTCTCTTTTAAGCATGGCTTTTTTCCCTTCTCTGATTTTTCGGATATTAACACATGAAAGTGATGAGCTTTCACAGTTGAAGGAAGATCCAATTGAGGAAGATGAAGGAGTTCGATTATCACGAGCTCGTCAAGGCCACCGATGGATTCTCTCCGACCAGACTCATCGGCAAAGGAAGCCATGGATGTGTCTTCAAAGGTCTTCTCGAACACGACGGTCATAGAATCGTAGCCATTAAAACACCTTCGGTGATGACGTCATCGTCTATCTCCATTGTTTCGGACACTGTACAAGCAGAGAAGCTGAAGAAACTCGAAAACGAGATCAGGGTTTTGTCGTCTCTGTCTTCTTCGAGTCCCCACGTCGTGAGCTTTGTCGGAGCGAGTCGCGACTCGGTGAATGTCCCCAACCACAAGCTCATGCTAATGGAGTTCATGCCAAATGGATCGCTGCACCGTCTGCTTCACGTGTCGACCTCTCCTCCTCCCACGTGGCATCGGCGCGTGGAGATCGCCCTCCAGGTGGCGCGTGCGCTTCACTTCCTGCACGAGCAAGCCGTTATCCACCGCGACGTCAAGTCGGAGAATGTCCTGTTCGATTCGAATTGGAATGCGAAACTCGCCGACTTCGGACTCGCCGTGTCGACACAGCGAGTCGACTCAGCGATTCAGACAAATCCGCCGGCGGGGACGATCGGGTACATAGACCCGAGCTACACTTCCCCAGAGAAACTGAGCACGAAGACCGACGTATTCAGCTATGGCGTCGTGTTGTTGGAGATCATGAGTTGCAGAAAAGCCATAGATGTCACTCGCTCGCCGGCTTCGATCGTAGATTGGGCGATTTCGTCGATCGAGGAAGGGAAGATCGGAGAAATCACCGGCGTAGGATCAGCGCCGTCGTGCATATCCGCCGCAATCGAACGGATACTACGGATGGCTGTGAGGTGCGTGTCGCCGCCGACGGAATCCCGGCCTTCAGCCGGAGAAATCGCGGCAGAAATAGCG